TTGTTTCCTAACGTTTCGCCAGCACCTCTGACCGGCATCTTCAGAGTGCAGGAGCACAGACAGGAGCAGTTCTCTCTGTGCCCAGGGTGATGTGAAACAAAACTTGTTAGGAAACAAAACTTCAAGACCACGGCCACACAGCCCGGAAGACCCACACCAGCCATCTCCCCTTAAAGTTTGTTTCTAGTGGGGAAATTGTGTTATTATATAAGGAGATCATCAAACTATTATACATTCTGAAACAATTATGAATGTTTTGACAAAAAGTTACGTTTAGTGGCCAGGGACTGATTTGTGCAGTGAAAAAATGGTAAATGCATGAAGGATATGCCAGGCTACTTGGTATAATCCCCAATGGCACCTGTATTCCCATGGGAAGTGATCAAAACACCTTGGAAAGACTCCCTATTTATTTTATAGGATTATTTCAGGGAAAGAACTAATGATGATATACTCTTATTCAAAAATGTCTGCATCAATAATAGCACTGCACCACTTATTTGGAACCCATAGATTGCCTGATACTATCAGCTTAGACAATGTACCTGTCCTTATATCAAAGAAGTTTAAGAATTTTGTCGACAGTACTCTTATCCATGCTATCACAGTTCCCCCCCCCCCACGCACACACACACACACACTTCTGCCCCATTCATCTCCAAACAAATGGCTAGGCTGACGAGATGATGCAGACAACCTTGGATTAACTGAAGCAAATTGTTGGAGGACATTGGTCAACTGGTTTAATCAACTTCCTTCTTGTACAATATATTACTCCTTGCTCAAAACATGAACCAGTTCTGGTGAATTACATATGGGGTAATGAATACAAACTAGTCTTGACTCTTCATCCAGATCTGAGGATTTACAAAACAAGCAAGAATTGAAAAACTGCTCTGTTCCTATTCTGTATTCATTTATGTTAAGTGAATGATTATTCCTTATAAACAGGTCTTGGTCTTTGGAAATACCTATGTATCTGGACCCAGATAGTTTCTCCAACTCTCACTGAGATCCCAGCCCAGTAACATACAAGTTCAATGTGCAGATGGGCTAGCATGGCAATGTCACATTGATCAATTGAGCATACATTATTCTCAGAGTCAGTTGGCAACCACAAGCATCATTTTCAAAACAGTCTGGAGTTGATGGCCCTGCTACATTTCTTGACAAATCACCAGAGCTAATTCAAGATTACACCAATCATTGTTTTTTGCCTTCAGGAATTGCTGAAGGAAATTTCCCTGAATCTTGTATAGTCACCTGTTGAACCCAGAAACCATTAATCAGAAAGATTCCTCTTGCTTGCTGAAGGAAGGTGATAACTAAAGTGTGAAGGTGTTGGGTATGTTATGTATTAGTAATATATTTTGGCCACTGAAGCTCATGCAGATTTTGAATGAACCATAGCTGCTGGAGAGAGTTTTGTAAGCAGTCTTAACATTTGTTTATAATAAATAGCCATGCTTGGGGATGTCACAGTGCAATCCACCTTACTACTTGGATCCCAACTTCTAATGCAAGTTTGCCACTTATCCCACTCTCTACAAATGCCTATGCTTGCCCTGTTTGAGGCTGATGTTTATTTGAAATCTGCTAGAGAGAGCCAGAATTGCTTGTTTTCCATTTTGCCTCCAGCAGCTGATCTAGTATTGACAAGCAATTGTCTCTGTGAACTAGCTGTGGATTGGGCAAAGGAATCCTAGAGTTTAATGTTTCAGCTTCAAAACATTTTCAGTCTATGATCTACAAGCTGGTATGGTGCAGGTTTTTTCATTCATTTTCACCTTTTCAGCCATTTTCAGAGCCAGTGAGACAGCAGGTGGCAAAAATGAAACAAGCTGTCAGGGACCAGTCTCATGCAGTGTTTCTGAGTTAGCCTGACATGCCTTGATGAAACTGCAATTGGGCTGAGACTTAAATAAAACAATAAAAAGAAAGATTGTGTCTAGCTTTCAAGAACATTTGTATATCAATTGTTTCTATATCTACACAAATGTACAGAAATGGTAGATACTTCTTCTTTTTTAAAAAAGACAACACTAAGAATATAGGCATGCCAATCAAAAAAAATATATTCCACCTATTTTAAATGAGCAGTAACATACTTGTATTTCAAAAATCTTATTGGAAGATATATGTCAGCTTAAAAACGTTACTGTCTTGCTTTAGAATAAATGCATAGAGATCAGACTGACTTTGGAGATAGGCAGCTTCAGCTTTTTAAGATACCATTTTCTGTTAGGACAGCCCTGGACTAACCATCATAAAACAGCTGTGCCAGGCATAAGAAACATGGTGGTCTCCAGATGTTGCTGAACTACAGCTTTCAACCTGTTGTCTGACAACTGGAAGCTGTATCTCAGCAACCTCTGCCTAACTGCAGATGAATATGCTATCTATATATACAGTAGGTGTCAGGCCCAGCCCAAGAACAATGGTGAGACAGTCCAGTCCAGTTCCTTTATTAGTTTATACCTTATAGACAGAATCTTGCCAGACTAAATCTACACTACAGCAACTAGTGGATATACCCTGTGAGATTCTAGGGAGTGGCTATCCTGAACTTCTTTTGCTTCCCACACTCCTGTCGCGGTCTCAACTGCCTCTTGCCTCCTCCTCTCTCCTGGAATGCACCCCCTCCTTCCCAATAGCCTTGATCTCCCACATCACTCTCCTCCTCGTAGATACATTCCATTACATCAGGGCTATGTAACAATTTAGATTCAATGGGACAAAGTTGCTTTGGAGATGATAATAAACTCATAATAATATTTCACTGGAATACAATAAACATATTAACAGCATACTAACAAAACAGAATGTCCAGAGATAAATTAAACTTTGTATTTACATAGCCATGAAATTTAGCTAGGATGAAGTGCTCTGGTTAAATCTGAATTGTAGATAAACTTATTTTGATTCATAGTAGTTGATTTCACTTCTAATTCAAGTTAATCAGAGCCACAATAATTACTAACTTTGTGGTAGAGATTGACTTGTGAATGCTTATTCTTCAGAGGCTTTCATGGATGAAACAAGTGTTAGCTAATAAAATGATATGTTTCCTTTACTTTGTTGAGGATATAACCATATCTAAGAAATAGGCTTCAGAAACTTCTTATTTTAAGTGTTATAATGAGTTGTTCTATATAATTTTCCTAAATATTAATTATATCCTTTTCCCACCTCTGCAGTATCACTTCAATCCTTCCCAGTCAGTCCTTGTTATAGAAGGAGATGACATTGAGAATATAAATGAAGCTCTCCAAAAGGTCTCCTATATCAACTCAAGACAGTTTCCAACTTCAGGTATTCGCCGCCTTAAAGTGTCATCCAAAGTCCAGTAAGTTAAATTCATTAAGCTTGATTAAACAAGCAATGCATCCGTAAATCTCATATTGAGTACTTTTTAATTTTTGGAAGAGTAAAAGAGTTTTATCAATAAAACTCATCTTTTAATACATTTGCCAGCAGCTTAATCATTGTAGTTACTATGATTTCAACTATTTCTGCATGCCCATTGACTTCAGATGGAGTTTTGAGATGTGTAGGAAATGGCCTCCTGATGCATTCAGTATAAAATGGGCAATTAGGTTCTTGATGCACATTTAACAAGATAGCTTTATCAAGCCTGTTAAGTATCAGTTGGGGTATGTAATGAAAAATGCATAAGAAGCCATCTAATCAGATTTAACCATTGACTGTTTGTTATGTTATTTATCAGTTTAAGTTGTATGGGTGCAGTGACCTTTTTAAAGATCATACCTGTCAATGGCATGCTGCGCTGCTCATAAATAATTTGAGAAATTGTATTTTAATGCTCACATGGGACTGAGTAATTCTGAAGCTGGTCAGTGAGTAGGCCTTAAAAAATAAGTGTACAGGGGGAACAAAGTTTGGGATAAACGTTCTCTTTCAACGATGTGTTTCTTAAGAAGAAAGAATGAATGCATACTTTTCCATGGGATTAATGAATGATATATTTTTCAGATGTTTTGGTGAAGATACCTGCATTAGTATTCCAGATATAGATGCCTATGTGATGGTGTTACAAGCCAAGGAGCCCAAGATTACAATAACTGGAATGGATCACTTTGCAAGACCTGCCACACAATTTGAACATGAAAGAGGTGTGATTCTTTTACAGGATGTCAGAATTGTCAGCACAGTGTCTAAAATGGAACATCCCTCTGACCTGAAGGAAACTGTGACTAGAGGTTTGTTGTTTTTCTTTAAGCTTATGATTTCTGTGACAGGAGAACTTCATGCCAGATAGCAGTGAAAAGAAAAACATAGAGGAACAGGCTCTGCTAAAATGGCTATGATTTCCCTAGAGTTATATAGATTTTTGTAACCTTAAAAGGAGATTAGTTCAGGCAAGGTGGTATGTTCCATACCTCATAAATAATATTTTCCTTTAATAAAATGCATAATAAATTGGAGAAGCAGTTGCATGTTTTATTCCAGCCTTCCCCAGCTTGGTACCTCAGCCAACAAGGTAAATATCTGGTAAGCACTGATTTAGGGAAAAAAACCAAACTTTTTATATAAGAACAGCTATTACTTTTTTGCTTTGTCACTAAACGCTGGAGGGAAGAAGATTCAGAAATAGCATTGGCAAAGTTGTCATGTGCAACATGTATAGCTACCATAATTAAAGCCCCGTGGCTAAATTTTCCTGTACCTTCCTCCTTCGGGTAATAACAACCTGACCAGACCAACCTTGGTTGTTTTATTTATTTATAATATTTATATACTGATTCTCATTATAAAAATAGTGATTGATTATAATAAATGTCATAAAAATTAGAAATGAGGCAGTAAAAATAGTAAATATTAAAACCCACAACTAATTAATAACTAATATCCACAATAAAACATAAAAACTGGATGAGTTTGTAAGGAAGTTAGCAGTTTCTCAAATGAGCTGGTCCTGCACTGTTTATGATCAACAATGCCTTGACAAATTGTAATATATGCACTGTAAGGGACTCCATGAATAAATTAACCATAGCAGTCTCTGAATCACGTTCAAGGGGAGCTCTTCATATAGCATGTAATAGAACAAGGTAAGACTAAGTAGTTATCTGTTAGGTGCCAAATAGGGATTTTTAAAATTAACCAGGTAAATTATGCTTTTATTGCCTAGTCAAGTCTGCTGAACAATCTGGATTTCTTATGGTTGTGTCAATTTGTTTTACTTAAATAGGTGTCTCAGGACAGGTAGAAAGCAGAAAAGGAAGCTAAAGAATATCAATAAGCACTTTGTTGCATCAGATTATTGAAAGGAGGTTTATGTGAACCAACTTCTCAGAGATAGGTGGTGCCAAATCTGTACCCCCAGTAATTTCATTTACTGTAATCATTACAGCCTGATTCTTATTGGTGCAGAAGTGATAACACCTAAAGGCTTTCTCTGTATATAAATGAGGATGGACACATACATGTAATGATCAATTCAAGCTTGATGTATTGTATGTTGACACAGAGAGGTCATCTATCTGAAGTGACAGAATGGATATCTTTGGCCTTCATTGTAAAAGATAATTCATTCTAAATGGGAAAGAATTCATTTAATTAATGGTATGCAGAAGACATTTTAGTTGGATTCACACATCATGCTCAGCCATGCTCAACAAAATTGCATTTTGATTTAGACTGATGTACAAAAAGTCACTTTTGCATAAATACATTTTATGACCAGTTGGTGAATTAGTGTTAGAAAATCTCTGGATGACTTCCAGCATTATGTATTTTAAAACCTCAGAGAAGCTGAAATCTTTAATGATGAGCAGTTTTGTTTTTCTAAACTTTTTGTTCTTAGTTGCCGGAACAGTGTTCCTTGTAGTGCTCAGGAATAATTCATGTTACAAAAACTGGTTACCCACTTGTCTATAGCCTTCCTCTCTGCATTACAAATAAACATGCAATTTGATAATAGTTCTAAGCTTTTCTGTGCTATGTTGTTATCAACTATAGTAAGAAATTTTCAGATGTTTTACACAAACACACTTCTTTCGTAACAGGCAACGCTGTTTTGAAACACATTTTGTCAATATAATATTTTCCCTGAAAACTAGTTTTCAGCATGATCAATTTTCATTAATATTGAAACCATGTTTAAACTTTACTTCCTAACATCTGCAAATATATAAATAATGCTATTGTAGGAATTAATGCCAAACTGGTCAAGGATTACTTCTTAGGGAACATGAAAACTATTACAGCTAAATATAATGATGGTTTGTTTACAGTTCTTATCTCCTTTGTTTATATAAAGATCCTCTGAGTATTTGGTAAACATTTTGAATACCAAATAGAGGTGGCTGAGAAGCTCTTCCCTATAGTTTCACCATATCCAGTAAGTGGTACCCTTTAGAATCCAAAACTCATGTTCCATATGTAGATTAGCAGCCATGCTGTCAGGCATATTCACAGTGGACATGCAGGCACAGCATTCAATTCACTGTACATTTTTAAATAGGCCAGAGAGTACAAACCATTGCGGAGAAGGTTTCTAAATAAACTCAACTGGGCACTTAATATTTAAACCAGTCTTTAGTAATTCTAGAAGTACGTTTCTGCCACAAAAATAATCCTTCTCCTTCTCCTTCTCCTCCTCCTTCTCCTCCTTCCTCCCTCTTCCAAAATATATCCCATTAGAGATAGAATTAAAGTCAATTTTCTATCTTATTAGATGCAGAGTGGACCAGAAAATACAAACATTTGCATGCATTTCTTTAATGAAGATAGTAATTTTCCATAGTGAGGAAAAGGAATTTACATCTCAGTTTCTTAGCGATGCCATTATGGTTATGCAGGTCACAAGTGATACCAGACCTCCTGTGACTTTTTTTTTTAAGTCCTAAAATAATAATAATGAAAGATATAAATATGATATTAAATTATATTCCTAAAATATGGAAATTTTCATTTTATGAAGATCTCTGCTGCTATCTGGAGTTTGGCAAAAAGCTTACATAAATGGAGAGAAACTTGTTCTGTTGATATTAAGAAATGGATTAAAGATATTATCTGTTTTTGAAAAGTCTTTATGTTCTAAAAATGACAAGATGAAGCAATATGCTTCTACATGGTCTATATTTAATGACAAGCTAAAGGATGGAATTAGTACTAATGGATATTATGTGGGTATTTTTATTATTTCTTTTTCCTCCACTGTATTTAGTTTATTTTAATTACTACAAGGTAGTAATTTAATTACTACAAGGATTTTTTAAAATTATTGTATAACTACTTCTATATTTTTTTGTTAGTGATAGTGATTGATGTTGTAGCTATTTCCATTTCATTCTTTCTCGCTCGCTCTCTCTCTTGCTCTCTCTGTCTCCATCTATCTAGCTATTGTCTATCCATCTATCTGGAAATACATAACTATGGAAGGATCTATGACTGCTGAATTGGTATCAATATATATTCACTAACAAACAGCATAATTATCAATATGTAATTCTGTTTTGCCTCAGAAAATGACAGCACTAGCCAACTTTGGTTGATCTCCAAAATTAAGCAGGTAGAGTAAGCTCTGGTTAGTACTTGGATGGGAGACCTCCGGAGAATTTGAGGCAACTCGGAAGTTGGAAAGTCAAACAAAATACCATCAAAGAAGGCAATGATACAAGATTTCTGTAATATTGCCGAGAAAACCACATAGATGTAGTCCCAAGAATCAAGCTTGACCCAAGAAAAGGAATCTTTTTTTTTTTAATCTCTTTCCAAGATAACAATTCAATTCTGCACTTTGCAAGGGCAATATTGCATAATTTATCCTTTTTTGTTCTTTTTAGTCATGGAATATTATTTGGGAGTTGTATACTACTCAGAGTTAGCCAAGTATAGTGGCCTATAAGCCCTATAAACAAATTAAATTTTGAAAAACAACATTTCAAATATCCTATATTATTTGGAAATTATGCTTTTAGACAATTTTTACTGTTATTTGAGGTACCTCTTTTCTGTTCACAGCCCATAAACCAGTTCTGTTAGAAGAAATGGATCACAATTTGGATTTCTGTGATATTTTGGTAATTGGGGCAGAACTGGATCCCAAGCAAGAATGTTTGGAATTGGATAAGAAAGATCTTCAAGGGAAACACATAGAAGCTACTAACTCCACAGCAGGATATTCAGTATATGGTATGAGTATTTCTTTTTCATTTCCATATCTTATCTTAGCCTAACATTTAATATCTGTATCTTAAATTAACAGGGCTATGTTGTACCTGTTTTTTAAAAAAGAATAAAATTCATCCGCATGGCAGAAGTTAGAAAGCAGCTGAATATGAAGAATTCCAAATCTATTGACTATTTACCCTGTCAGACATGACAATCCAACCTAATCTTTATCTGAATGAAAATAAAGTAGATATTACTGACTACAGAAAGTAAAGATCAGAGAACATATGGTTTCTTGTTGAACTACTCCCAGCATCCTTTACTCTTGGCCATGCTGGCTGAACTGCTAGGAAGTGCAGTTCAACAGTATCTGGAGAACCATGTTCTCACCTTTTTGCTATAGTAAAATATTGTATCTGTAGCTTATTGAGATGCAGAGAATGTGTAGTCATCATCATATCATTTGCAAACCTCTGGTAAAACCGTTACCATTGAATCAATGTTAGTAATAATGTGTGTTTGTTTCTGGGACAGTTTTCAAACATACACAAGTGTCTTTTCTTTTTTCTAACATTTACTATACTTTGTATTCGTTTTATTGGTTCAGGTGTGGACACTGTGAAAAACTATGAAAAGGTCTTACAGCAAATTCGCTATCGTAATTGGCACACATCTTCCATTTCTGATAGAAAGTTTAGAATCAAGTGTTCAGAGCTGAATGGGCGTTACACTAGCAATGAATTTAATTTAGAGGTAAGTAGCATGTTTAAAAAATGATTAACAATTCTTTCCATATTAAAACAGGCAGTATTTGGTATCTATTAATATAACATAATTTCCAGATAATTTAGTGAACATGTACTTATTTCTAAATACGTTATTAGGTACCAGTGCAGACATAAACCTGACCAATAAACTAAGATACTTTCTCAGGTATCATTTAATTAATTAATTTTTCATTAATGAATTTTTAAACCAGAGGTTGAAATGAGTTTATTGTCATCTGTATTCGTATAGAAAAGTATTTCCCTAGCAAACATTGTTTCTTTCAAAGTGATAATCAACAATCAATCAATCAATCAATATTTATTCAGTCAATGACCAGCAAAATTTTAAAAAAAAAAACAGAAACAGAGTGAAGCAAATGTAACAGCTAACAAAATAAATCACATAATAGTAAAGCATTCACTCCTCTATTACTATATTGGTACATTTATTACCTCGGCAATATAAATCTAAAACATTAATAAGTATAAACTAAAAAATATATATCCCAATTTATATAACAATTTATTAATTAAGATATATCAAACCAGAAGTAATATTCAGATCAAAGGTAATTACGTTTTTGCTTTCATTGCAGCAACACAAAATTTAGCTACTGCACACGTAATTAATAGTTTTAAATCTTGAAGAAGACAGTTCACATAAAAGTTATCTGGACTCCCAGAAAATTTATCTATTAGGGGAAAGATGTAGATTGACCTAATATCCTTATAAAATTTACAACGTAATAATACGCATGAGATAGTTTCAACTTCCTTATCACCACATGAGCAGATATGCTCAGCTAAAGGGATTTTACTATACCTACCTTGAAGAAGTGCAGATGGAAGTGTATTGAATCTAGCTTTAAAAATGTGATTCTCAATTTATAAAACCATATCCAGCTTAAATCCATCTTCTCCAGATGGAATCTGTGACTCCACATTACTTAGCCAGTAGAACATGCTGTGGGTAGCTACCCCAAGGGAAATTAGGGGATGGAGGCTTAGAAGATGACTTGAAACCATTTGCCTCGCCAAGTCAGATTAGCACTCAGCCTGTTATCCTTAAGTATTGAAAAAGGCTCTCAAATCATACATCGCATTATGTCACACAAGGAGTTTTTAACCTATTTTGTTCTTGGATATAATTCTGTTTCAGATGCTTTAAGCAATTCCAGTAGTGGTTGCAAGTTGTATTATTCCTCTATTATCTAAACATTCATGCTGACCAGAGCACAAAATAACATTGAAGCTCTCACATGCAGTATATGAATGTCTCTTGATGAAAACCTCCTATGCCACTATAACTTTTATTGTGATTGAATCAAGTGGGTAGGCTAGACTGAAATAGAATTTTTTTATAATTATAATTACACAGCCAAATATTTATGTAGCACAGTAACCATTGTGCTACATATTGTGTATTTCTAAATAACATACTAAAGCATTTTTCTTTTGTGTCAAATAGCATGACTGCATATATCCCATTCATTCATTCATTCATTCATTCATTCATTCATTCATTCATTCATTTTGTCAATGCCCATCTCATTAAAAAGTGACTCTGTGCAGTTTTCAAGGACCACTGAAGTTTCTTACATAACTACAGTGGA